GGGGAGAGCGTGGGTAAGATCTCTAATATATAGCTGTAGGCAATTTATAGACATGGCTGACTGAGTTCGACTTTTGTATCATTTCGAAAAACTACTATCAAGCTGTCATTTAGTTGCCTCTACATGGTGCAGAAAAGTAGGACCTAAAACTCCATTCATTTCATTTCATTTTTCATTTAGTTGCCTTTACCAAATATACTGATATACATTTCAGGGTGTAAATGGATGGTTTAAAATTGTAACCAGTGCTGCTCATAATGGCGAAGGTGCTAAATATAACCTTGGAATTGAAAATTCTTGTGCCTTTGGTGATGTTATTGTATGATAATCAAATCCAATTGTTACAATTAAATATCTCAACTTAGATTGACCAGTTAAGTCAGAAAATAAATAAATTCTATCAAAACTGAGCATATATATTCTACCAATTTGAAAACCTAACAGAAATGTTCGGGTATATTATCTTCTAAACCTACAGAAAAAACATAAATGATACAGTGTTACTCGAACATTATGTACATTATAAGGCTATCGGAATCTTGAAAAGAAATTCTCCATATATTATTAGCTGTACTTGAATGATTATACACTTCCCCTATACCACTCCCCCGGCGTACATCAACATAAAGGAATCTCGACCCGTGACTCCGATTTATAGCATATATATTGTCTCCCAACCCTTTTCAAAAAGAGTAAGAAAAGCCATGCAAACAGCGCTCTATACCTTTCTTCAGGTGACGTTAGCAGGAAAGTCTCTTCGACCAGAAAATGCATGTATGTCTATCCCCGAACCCTCAACCTCCAAAATCAGCTTGCCTCCTATTAGAAAACCGCTCATCACACATTGAACTGATTTTGGTTTGAAAGTATCAAAAGTAACTTCCCTTTCGTCCATACTCTTTCGGCAATATGAAAGAGGTGATAACATCTTATCTGAAATAATCAGTTCAAATCTTGATTTGTTTTAATCATATGATGAGTGGCTAACCTGATTATTTACTGTCAGTTATTTTTCAATCAACATGGTGATCAAAATACTTCTTCTTGTTGTGGCTGTCTTGGTTTTCGCTGAGGCCAAACTGAAATATGGAACTTGCTATAAACCTATGAAGAATTACAAGGGTGTCAAGTAAGTAAGTTTTGGAATTCAAGATTCTTTTGAAAATAGTTGGAAATGTCAGGGCTGCCCAGATACTTGGTTTGTTTAGAGTGAATGAGCAAGTGTTTAAAACAGCTTGAAAGATATCAGAAGAATATTAACGAGTCCATTCAAATGACCATTGAATATAATGGGCAATCCTACAATTTCAACATAATCTTCTTAACGATTCTGAGATGTAAGATCTCAATAAGTAACAATATGGATTTTAAAATGTATTCAATTCTTTTAGAACATATCCTCGACCACACGAATATTTGAATGTTAAAGACTTACCTACATCTCTGGATTGGAGAAACCGTAATGGTACTAACTATGCTAGTACAACCAGAAATCAACATATACCACAATGTAAGTTGATTGTAGTGTCAAACGCATGAATCAATCAGTAATATCAGAATGTAACTGATATATAACTGATGCATCTGGCGACACCATTAATTTTACTATGTTCAGTGTAGATCCAAAGGAATCAATCAGTAATATTGTGTGCAGTTTAATATATATGTTACTTATGCACCATGGTGATACCATTGTTTTTACAAATTACGCCATCACATGTGGTATATTTAGGTCCATATACTATATCAAATAGTGGACTAAAAGCTCCTGGTGCTGCCGCTTAGTGTTGCAGATCTGTATCAATTGCCAGGCGTTAAGGACACGGATTTGAGAT